CTATTTATACCATGCCTAAAATCAAACCTACCCTAAAAAAAAGAAAAATAAGTCCAGTAAGTGGTAAAAATCAAAAAACCCAATTTAAGCAGTATCTAGAACGAATTGAAGATCCTAAAAACAATCAAGAAGTAAACTATGACTTACCAGAAAATCCCACTCCTTTACAAGTAGCCAAGTTTGAGATTTGTCAAAGAATTCTCGCTTATCAGCAAGACAATAATCTAACTGATGAAGAACTAGCTGATCGTATTAATTTAAGCATTCCTGAACTAGAAGAAGTATTATTTTGCCAAATTGAGAAATTTACTTTAGACCGCTTAATGACTTATGCTAATTCTTTATTTAACCCTTCCCAAATAAAGATTACTATTACTCAACCTACTATAAGAAAAAGAAATCCTCTTTATGCCCGCTAAATTAATTGATTATCGAGTAGTTAAAGGAGAAAAGAGATGAACTTATGAACTAAAGATTACTTTTAATGGTCGCAAAATAATTGCCGTTACTATTACTGATTACTATCAGACTAAACCCAAACGGAAAATGATTACTAATGAACTGATTTTAGGAATGTTGAAAAGACTAAAGAGATTACGACCTACTAAATATCCCAAAAGAAAAGTATTCAAATGGGAGACTAGTTATCGGAATAGGTCTTATCGACTTATTTTCTGATTTAAAGATAACACTACTAACCATCTTTGGATTAGAAATTGCCATCCTCAGGATTAGTTTTACTTTCTCTACTTTGCCTTACCATTTTATTGATTTATAACCCTTTTTTATCCTATTCAAAAATTACCCCATTATTTATTTATGAAAAGAAAAACAATTCCATTAAAACCAGTCTCCAAAGGTAGTGCTGGTAAAGGCATTAGCGGAAAAGGCTTGAGCCAATTCACTAATGCTGAACAAATCAGAAACCGTTTCTCTGCTTTCGCTAGTGGCAAACGAGCTGGTAAAGAAAGTGGTGATGCTGGTTATTGAACTGGTGGAATGTGTGACTGAGGTGGCGAACATACTTTGGCAAAAGATAGCCAATCCCTTGCTGATTTTGCTAATAGTGTTGCTAACATAAGCAATGAAAAACAAAACCTAACCTTAGCAGTTAATGAACAAGAATTTAACAATAAAAAACAACAATTAATTAATAAACTCCAAGAATGCATTAATAAGTGCGAAACTTCTGATTATTATTCAGTAGCCAGCATTTGTTGTATTTGAAATGATTTTTTTGGTAGTTTTTTAAAACCTTGATTAGATGGTTTAAAACAGAAATTCCAAGCCGACTTAAATCAGTTACGAGGAATTGAACCTAAACACCAAAAAGAAGTATTGCAGTTAGAAGCAGAAATAAGAGGAGCAGAAGCGAAATACAACGAAGCCATGGCTAATGCTGCCAAGGAAACTGATCCAGCCAAAAAAGCTCAATTTATTGCTATTGCTCAAGGAGCCGAAAGAACCATTAAACAAACCAAACAAAAGTTAACTCGTAATCCCTTATCTAAATATGTTGAATACAGTAATTTAATGAATTATGTTAATGATTTAGAAAAGTTAATAAAAGGGAATGTTCCCAGTAAACCGCCGACTGTGCCTAATCCAATTCCGGGAGTCTCTAGTCCTGGAGGTTCCGGTGGAGGCACTAACCCTACTGGTGGACAAACTCCTTGAACTTCTTGAGGAGGAGGCAGTTCTGGTTCTAATAATCAACAGTCAACTAACCAGCAACAACTGTTAATCTTTGCTGGAATTGCTGTTCTAGTAATCTTTTATCTCCTAAACCAAAAAGACTATGACTAACCCCCAAGACCTAAAAAACAAACTCGGTGAAGCCACCGAGCAAATCGAAGCAACCATTACTCCTCTTTACACTAATTTAGAACCTTGACAAAGAGGCCTAATTTTAATGGCTCTGGCTATTTTTCTCCTTTTTGCTATCTACCAACTAACTAAATCTGAACCAAAAATATCCGCAAAAAAAGAAGCTCAAGTCGAAGAAAGATTATTACGACAAATGGCTTTTTTTAAAAGACTAAAAGAATAACCCAAATTCATGTATAACATTGACCATTACTTTGATTTTGATTCTCCTCCAAAGTCAATCGTTAAATCTAAGAAGAAAAAACAGCAACAACAGCAAATGCTCCTTTTACTCTTATTATCAGTTGGTGCTGCTTATTACTTTATGATTTATTTGCCGGATGAAGAAAGAAAACTTCTAGAAAGTCAAATTCAAACTAAATTAGATGAAGTGAAAAATATTAAACCAGAAGAGCATGCTAACATTCCTACTTTATTAACTGCTTGTCAAGGTTATTTAGAATGAGCAACTAAGGGAACTGAAATTCAAAAATTAGCCTTAAAGAATAAACAAAAAGATTTAGAGGAGGCTATTGAATGGTTGGGGAAAAATCAGAAAACGACAGAACAATTAGAAGAAGAAATGATGCAAGAACATTTCGAAAAAGGAAGAATTTGAAAATTGCCAACTTATAGTTGAGCCGATATAGAAGTAAGAAAGCTCGCTAATATTTTGGTCGGTCGTTACCAAGAGGATGCTAAATCATTTCCAAAGGGAGATGCGGATGAAAACTTTCATTTTACTCGTGCCGGAAGTTATGATGTTCACTTTCCGCCTTCTCTTCAAGAATATTATGACAAGGCTAAATCTCCAGAAATAAATCATGCTAACTGTAAATTGTTAGACAAAAGAGAAGATTTAATTTGGTCAGATGAAATTACCGCTTGATATAACCAAGTAATGGGTCAAAACCCCCCTTGAAGAGGCGATCCTGACCCTACCACTAAAAAGGATAACAATGCTATTTTCTTTGGAGCTGGAGGTACTGGTAAAACAGCCACGGTTAAAAAAATCTGCATCGAAGCCGATAGTTGTCCATTGGTGATAGTCAAAGGTTCCTCATTAACGCCAACTAAACAAGACTATGATGCAGGTGTTGCTCCTTTACAGAAATTTGTTTACACTATTAGTGAATTAGAATGAACGTTAGAATCGTATGGTTTAAAAAGAGAAGACAACAAGGATAACCAAGAAATTCGTTATATTCTTTTTGTGGATGAATGTGACCAAATTAGCAACAATTCCTTAATCCATGACCCCAACAAATTAAGGTTTTTAAAAGAATGCTTAGAAGGTAGTGATACTAGTCGAAAGTATGAAAGTAATAATCTTTGAATATTTGCGACTAATCACCTAGAAGATATTGAACCAGCGGCTTATCGCGAAGGAAGATTGAGCAATCCCTTAGATTTCAGTTGAACCTGAGAGGAATTTAAGAAATATTTTGATGATGCTAGTGCTAGTCCAGAAAAATATAAATTGCCCTCTGGATTCAATATCCCTCCAATGCCTCAGCGGTGGCGAGACAATGCTACTTTAAATGAGGAGGATAACAAGTGAACTAATAAATTCAATAAATTTTCCTTTGTTTCTGATTTTCTGGGTTATGACCCGACCAAACCTAGCAGACCGAGATTTTGAGAAGTATTTATCACAAGTAATCCAGATAGTCAATATGAAACTGAGGAAGATGAAGTAAATGATGAAGGCGAAAAAACAGGAAATAAAATGAAAATAGATATTGAAATAGGCGAATTCCTAAAATTCTTTTGGCAAAAAAAAGAGAGTGGGCAGTTAGGATCTTATGATGGAAAATTCGAACCACCTTCAAATCCTAAAGTTGAAGATGTGTTAGATGGTAGAATACCAGAAATGTCTAACATTTTGGCACAGTCTTCTAATCTACTGAACCAAAGTCTAGCAAACTTATGCGAAGAGGTAGATGCTTTGAGACAACAAATGCAATTGTCGACTGATAGTGGTCAAATGGTTACTATCCAAAATAGCATTAACGAATTATATAAATATGTGGGCGAATTACGAGCCAAAGTAGAATATTAAAATGATATGAATAAACAACAACTAATTAAACAAATCGAATCTAAAATCAAAGAAGTCGAATCTACCCTTACCCTCTGAACTAAAAACATTGAGACCTACCAACAACAATTACAAGAACTAACCCAACAATTAAAAATTATCAAAAAACAAATCAAATAATATGAAAGCAATAAATAAAAAAGTCCTAAGGACTATAAACCTCAAATAAATATGTCACTCTGAAGTTGAATTAAAGAAAATACAACTACTATTGTGGCTACTGTAGCAGTAGGTATTGCTACCGGTGGCACTTCTTTGGCAGTCCAAGCAGCTGCTATTGGTGGAGCATACCTAGTGGGTTCAGCAATAGATAGTGATAATAAAAAAAAAGAAAACGAAAATAAACAATTAAATCTAAAAGGTGAAATATCTAAACAAATCAGAGATGAAATTAATAATTTACAGAATGATAGAAGTAATGAGGCTAGTCAACTTAACAATTTAGACCAGCAAATTGCTCAAAAACAAAATAAACTAAATGACCCTAATGTTTCAGAAACCGAAAAAGCCCAAATTAGAAGTGAGTTAGCCTCCCTAGTATCACAAAGAAGTAGTATTCAAACTAGAATAAAAACCTTAGATGAAAAGATAGAAGGTTTGATAAAGCAAGGTAATAAAACAATAACCAGTGGAGGCGGATTATCCAGTTTGGAAATCGATTACAATACTAAACTGATAATTGGAGCTATCATCTTTTTAGTAATTTATTTTGCTTTTATTAAAGAAAAGGAGAAAGATTAAATAAAAGAATGCAGTGCAGTATGGTTTTTGTAAAACTATAATATAGATAAAAAATATTAATGAACATGGACAAGAATCAGGCTAAGCATACTTTTAATAGTTATATTTCTTTTCGTACTCAAGCAAAAGAAGAATTAGCGGAAATAGAAAAAATTACTAATTCTCAGGTGTGGCACCAAAAGGTCAATTCCTCTTTTGAAAAACATTCAAGGAATCTTCTAAATGCTCAAGGTCTTCTTAATTCTTATAACCTAAATGGAGAAGTCAATATGAATGATTTTCAGGATTATAACAGTATCATCAATAAGTTAAAAGAGATAAAAGATAAATATCAAAAAGAAAATGATAAAGAAAATGAAAGTGAATATAACTGCGGATGATGTAAACAATCTAAAACAGGACAATATTGACATAACAAAGCGACAGGAGAAAAAGGAAAATTAAACCCAATTTCTAGCGTGAAAGGTTTTTACTCAAAATTCTGCTCCCAAGCATGTCTAAACTCTTGAAATCAAAACAACTTAAAAGAACACACTAATGGCAATTCTGAAATAATCTGCCACCAATGTAATAAATTCTTCCAAGGTCAATATTGACACAAAAATAACCCTCGAGAAAGTCTAATTCATAAATTCTGTTCTGAAAGTTGTTGTAATACTTACTGAACTAAAAAGCAGTGTTCTGGCTCTAACTGCTCCAACTTATTGACTAGTGATGAAATTTGTTATTGTTCTCCTTGTTCTGCTAAGCAAGACCAAATTTGAAAGAACTTAGAAAAAAATCAGCAAGATATCAATCAAGACTTAGATAATTTTAATCAAGGACTTAATGACTATGTGGAAAATCAAAAGGATAATGTTGGTAATAGTAATCTAAGTAATAATAATAACTCACATATAAGAGAGAGAGAGAGAGAGAGAGAGAGAGAGAGCAAATCCAGTCTCAACAACAACAATTACTTTTTGAAATCATGCAATTAGAACAAAATTCTACTAAAAACCAAGCAGAACTAGACTCTAAAAAACAACAATTAAAAGAGTTAGGAACTAAATCTAAAGAACTAATTAAACCTTTACCTTTAGATACTCAAATTACTATCTTACAGAAAGAAATCCAAGTTCTAACTAGTAAATCTACTAAAACTAAGGCTGAAGAAGTATTATTAGCCGATAAAAGGAAAGAATTAAATGAATTATTAAGTAAAAAAAATAATCTTTCTACTACTAATGCTAAACCCACTGATAAAACTGCTCTTTATGTAGGATTAGGTGTAATTGGAGTAGTTTTAATTGGTTTAGTGCTTATTTTAGTAAGAAGAAATAACAAAAATAAAAAACATTAAATGCCTATGGTCAGAACGAGAGAAAATAGCAAATTAGCATAATTTTTAAAATTAATTGCTACCTAATTTGTTATAAATGGACTTAATTGTCGGAGTGGTAATTGTAAAACAATAATAGAAATACAAAAAACAGTATAAAAATATGGTAAATAATGCACAAGAATACATAAAACAAAAATATCCTAATAAAGAAGAAAGAAAAAACATAACAAAGTTAAACATAACGGGTAAAAAACTCAGAGGTGAATTAGATTTAAGTGATTTTATTAATTTAAAGGAACTATGTTGTTATGATAATGAACTTACCAAAATAAAACCAAGTGATTCCAGCGATTTAAAAGAAATTGAATTATTGATTAAAGATAGAGCTGGCGTATATACCATGCCAGGTGTTTCGTGGCAACTCATAGAAGTTGAGATTCTCCCTATAGATTTAAATGATAATTTAATAGTCATTATTAATGAAGTAAACGTTAATAGTGCTTCTTTGCTAATAACTAATTGAAGTTCTGGTTCATATCGTGCCCTCCCTAAATCTTACAATCTTTGATTAATAAATAGTAAATTTGATGAGGATGAAAAACATTATTCAGTTACAAAAGCTTACTCAAATGAAAAAACATGAGAGGGTTCATTCTCTTCAATAGAAAAGGTTCATGAGAGAAAAAAAGAAATTGTAGAACAGTTGAAAAAATCAATTCAACAAAGAGAAGAATTGATTGAGGTTGAAGAAAAAATCAAAGAACAAACTCAACTCCTACAAAAAGTAGGTATCTATCCTAGAAATATTCTCTTAATTGGTAACACAGGCAGCGGAAAGTCTACTTTAGCAAATGTAATAAGTGGAACAAATAATTTCAAAGAAAGTGCGGGTAGTGTCAGTGAAACGAGAAATAAACAAATTGAAGAGTTTAAAACAGAAGATGGTGTTAGGTATCGAGTGATTGATACTATTGGTTTTGGTGATACTAAGTTAACTAACAAGGAAGTAACGAAGAAAATAGCAAAGACAGCTCAATCTATTAAAGATGGGTTAAATCAAATTCTGTTTGTCACTAAAAGCAGATTTACTAAGGAAGATAGGAAATTATATGATTTTTTAAGAGAGGTTGTTTTTGATAACGATATCACTAAACATATCACTATTGTTCGAACTGACTTTATTAATTTTCAAACCGGCGAATTTTGTAAAAATAATACTAGAGTAATGATTGAAGAGAGCAAAGAACTCTCTGATTTAATTAAATCATGTGATAAAAGAATAGTTTATGTAGATAATCCGCCAATAGATATTAGTGGAAAAGAAGTAGAAAAAAAGATTAATGATAATAAAAGAATTCGTGAAGTGTCAAGAAAAAGATTATTGGAGCATTTAGCAAATTGCCAAGAAATCTATAATCCGCAAAACTTAAAAAAATTAACTTCTAAAAATAGTAAGTTGCAAGAAAAAATAACTGAACTAGAGGGAAGATTAAAAAATGAAGGAGAAAATCAAGAATTATTAAAAAAAGAGATTGATTCTTTGCAAGAAAAAATCAACAAGTCAACATTAGAACACATCGAAGAAAGCGGAGGTGGAAAATGAAAAAAATGTGCAGAAAAAATGAAAATAGCACAACCTTTTATTGAAATTGTAGCAAAAATAGTAGTGGACATTGCTTTAAAAAATAATTAAAGTAGAAATTACTAACTACCAATAATCAGAGATTCAAATCCCACCTAAATAAAAAAGGGGAGCATAAAAAACTCCCCTTGCATAATCAGCATCTTAAGTATTTGTCCTTTAATACTCATTATCTAATTAACTTTGCTATACAAAACCACACCACCCTTAAAAACCCTTCTCAAACTAAGTCTTTTATCCAACAAAAACTATTCTAACTTACTTAACAACTCTTTACACTTTTCTACAATTCTCTCATTTTTTACTTTTTGAACTTCAAAGTCTTGAATGCAAGGATTATTAATACTAAGAACCTGATTAACCCGCGTTAAATCATCTCTTAGTAGTGCTAATTCTCCTCTATTGCGAAAATCTCCTTCTGCTAAGCGGAAAGTTAATTCCTCTTTTCGTTTAGTTCAGTAATATAAATAAGGATCACTATGAGCAGAAGTAAAACTAGAAGCTTGTAGTAAGTGAAATTCTACCGCATCTTTTATTAGTCCTTTATGGTGGTCTAAGTAGACTAATTTACTTAATTTGCTCTTTAAATTAGTTCAAGTTTCTACTAATATCTCTGTTTTTTTTTTTTTTTTTGTGGATTAGTCATATATTTAGTAATTTTACTTAAAATAAAGTTATGGATTATACCATCATTATCGGAATCTTTTTAGCAGTTATAATTTTGTGCTTCCTAATTTCTTTACTTATACCCTTTGAATTTTATTTACAGAGAAAAAGTTTTATAAGTTGGGCGGAAAAGCAGTATATAGTGCTTATCAATAATAATTCAAATAAGGCATCACTAATTCTAACTATTCTTAGTAATGATATTAAATATCCGGACAAACTAAATGGCTTGTTAGATAATGAAAAAGTTGTAGATATTAACTCCGGAAAAGAAGAAAATATTGATAAGATCTTTAAACGACCTTATTCAATGCCAAAATACTTATTTTTACTTGATGAAAGTGACAATTATGGAAAAGAAGAAGTAAAAAAATGAATAGTTAGCAAATATTTGCACGTGCTTCTGATTATAAAACTCCTTTTTTTCTTATTACTGGTTATAAAGGAATATTTTGAAAAGAAATAAAAAAACTGACAGGGATTCCTTCTATTAAGGTTCTTAATTTAAAAAAACATTGGTGAGGTTACTACTCTTTAAAAATAATCGTGGCAATAATAGATAAAGATGATCCGACTGACAAAGAAATTATAGGCAGATTCAGTATATTAGTAAAATCTAGCGACTGATTAAAATGAAAAAAAACTTGAACGAAAACAAAAAAATACTAAGCGCCTGTTGCCTAGTTTTGTAAAAATTAATAATATAATAAACTAACTACTAATTACCTCTTTTAATCTTTATCTATTCCTTATGTATAAGTCTAATATCTTGTTTAAACTCCTTTTACGACAATAAATATTAACAAAGTTTAAAATGCTTCTCGACATTTGCTCTTTATTGTTTTTTTTTTTTTTTTTTGTTATTGTTGTCATATGCTTTATTAATTTAATTATATAGAAATATTATCTTAACTATATAATATATTTATTTTATACACAATTCATACAATCTTGGTGGATCTTGGAGGACTCGAACCTCCAACTACCCGGTTATGAGCCGGGGGCTCTAACCATTGA